CATGGATGATTATTTTCTTTTCCATTGTGCCACTTTTTGGTAACCAAAGAATAGAAACCGATATTTTCTTTCAATATTCGACTAAGTAAAAAAAAAATTTTTTTTTGAAGCTTACTTTTCGTACGTATATTTTTCAATCTCTGTTGGGTTCTTAGTATCTTCCAAAGCTGTGCATCGGTTACATGAATTTAAATCCAGTTCAAAAAAAACTTTTGAAATTTTTTTTTACTCTGTTTAAACATTTAGATATTCAAAAAATAAATAACCCGAATGTACAATTTAAGCGCATTTACTTAAAAATATGGCACATTACACACACCCTTTTATCTTTTGCAGATTGTTTTTTTTAACACTGTGTCTAAACATAAATTTTCAGTATTAAATTTCATTTTTAGTTGCATTTTTCAATTTAATTCCATCTACATATTTTACTAGTTTCAGCGTTTTAAAGCTATTTATGTATTTAATTACTTCAAAAGTTATTCAAATTAATCCCATCCTAATTATATATATATATATATGGTTGGATGGTCCAGAAATATNATATATATATATAAAATTAGGATGGGAGTAATTTGAATAATATTTATATATATAATATGTGTATATATAATATATATATATACACAAAGCATATTAGTATTTTCAAAGCTATTCCAATTACTTTTTTCCTAATAAGTTTTGAAAAATAATATACATTTGTCCTGCATGTTTTTGGAAAAAGAAAGCAATTGGTAACACAATTTAATTTAAATTTATTTATATCTGGAAAATCATTAGGATCTTACTGATTTTTATTACTTTTGATAATTGGTATTTTTTCAGGGTTTGCACAGTATTCTTAATGCAAAGTATATTTTTTTTCGAAATTTTGCGGAGAAATAATTGATGCAATCTGAAATATTTAAAAAAAAAACTGATAATTCCTCATCAGGCTCTGTGATACGAAAGTACGCTGATGTGCTTTTGATAAAAAACAAAAGACATGGAATTTCACTGCCCATATGAAGAAACACATGAATGCTCTCAAAAACTAATTAAATTCCATTAAACTATATTAATTAATTATATAACCAAATTAAATTTATATGCTATAATCAAAGGGTTTAGAAATCAAATTATCGTCATTAGTGGAGCCCTTGAGTTTTAATGACGTCTTCATGAAACAACTTTGCAGTCAAAGTCGTTTATGCATGTTTATGGTGTTTTAAATCTTAATTGGAAGTAAATTTATTTCGTATGTGTAAAATTATAACTTTTAATTTAATAAAATACATGCAGCTTTAAATGTTAATTGCATTTAAATCACGTTAATTTGAATGTATAGAAATGTATAGCACATGAAATGTTTTTGTTTATTTCATCTTATTAACTAGCAACGAACAAGTTAAAATTACTGTATGGAGGAGTGAATTTAGTGTTTTATAAAGGTATGAATAGGATTCCTAAATGTATGTGACATTTAAAAACAGACTAAGGGGAGATATATTTTTAAGTCAATAATAATCAATTGTTCAATGTAAAATTAAATTATTTAAAATAAAAAGTACTAGTCTTTGGTTCTGAGTTTCTTAAAAAAAATCTCAAAAAACATTCAAAATTTTTTTTATGATGTTTAAAATCTAGTTTGCAAATACTAAAACTAACTCGGTAAACTCTGTGAACTCGTTCGAGCTGTAATTTATTTAAAGATTTTGAAAAGAAATATAGATTGATGAACAGCAATTTAACACGTTGTTTCAATTATGCCTATTTATAAACTAAATAAAAAATTGTTTTTCTTTTTTTTACTATTAAAAGATTAATAACTTAATGCTTAGGTCAGACTTTTGAAGACCATTTTAACTCAATTTTTGCGCATTAAGTTCATGAAGAAATAAATAAATCAAATAAATCAAGCTGTTAAAGATAGTTATACCAGATAAGTAAACTATCTATTTGGAATTTGTTGCGAAAATTGGTCTGTGTTCTTGTTGCACTTTATTTCTAATTTATCACATTGGAAGTATATTGGCTCTTTTTAATAAGATAAAGAAGCAACTCCGGAGTTGATAAAGTTACAAAACTTATAAAAACTTATTATAATATAAAATCAAAGCATGAACATCCTTCATAAGTTCAAACTGAATAATGTTTTCATGGTCTATTAAATACTAATTGTATAACTATTATTATTAAACGATTAAAATATGTCTTTTTTTTAACTTTGACGCAATTAATGCTTTTATGCAATCAATTTTTGTACAAAAAATTTACTAACTGTTAAGAAGTTTCGAAATTTTGAATAAAAAAAGTTACACTTATTGCTCAATTATATCGAATAATAAGGGCAATAAACAGGCATAGTATTTTACTTATTGATACTCAAGAAAACTAGTGTTTAAACAATTTATTTGCTTGTTTATTAGTATTTTTTTGTCTATGCGATGAATCAATTTATAATTAGTTAAAAAAGACTGACTTGTATGTCAGTTAAAAATCTTTTCCTTTATTCTTATTTAGAAAAAAAATAAAATGAGATACAGCAATAATATAAAAAAATTAAAAACTATTTTGAAAAAAATCTAAAAAGGATTAATTTTTCATCAAAAGCAAGATAAAACTCTGATTAAGTGAACTTTTTTATAAAACTGAACTTTTTTATGAACTTTTTTTCAAAGCCTGTAGAAAAATAAAGAATATTTCAGTGATTCGAAAATCTTTGCATGATTCTGTTGTACTTTTCCATGTTTACGAAGTCTCAAAAGCAACGTTTATAAGAACTCACGTCTACTAAATTTGGAAAATTAAACATTTACTGCATTAAATTATTTAGCCGAGCATTTTGAAGAACATTTACTTTATTGAATTATTTAGACGAACGTTTTGACTGATTTTAAGCATTTTTTCTTGGGAGTAACTAATATTTTATTCTCTAACTATATTAATCTTGACTTATGAGGCAAGTGAACGACGTCTATGGAACGTGACTTTTACTGTTAGAAATTTTTTTAACTAGACACCTGAGATAAAACCTTGCTCCGTATTTGAAGAAAAATTTTTCCTCTTTTCCTTGAAGGAAAAGGGATTTTAAAAGCTTTACGATACTAAAAGCATTTTACCGATACAAGATAGACTGATTGATGACATTCGGTAGCACAACTTTTCCCTAGTAGTCCCTAAAAGGTATCTTATCTAGCACGATTTTTCCCTCCTTCTTTTTAAGCATTTACGAGAAGATTTCGTGTCTTCTCGAAAATATCGTTCTTTTTGGATGGAAAAAGGAACGTGATGAATTACGCTCGAAATTGAAGTCGAGATTACATTGCGAGAAGTCTGAAAATCAACTCGGAAGCCCTGAAATGAGAAGTAGGAGTCTGTAATTTTTCACCCTTTGAAGCGGAAAAGTTTAAATATATCATTTACTTACTCTTCCTGAATTTAAAATTTATATTTAAGCTCCAGACAGAAAAGCAGATTTCGCCTTCCAACGGGCTTGGCTTAAATACGACTTCGAGTAAATTTGCTAAGATAAGTCTTCTTTCCCAAAAATAGCAATCGTTAAGCTAAGAGAGTATTAGTAATCAGCTACTAAATTCAGCTATTTTTAAGTCCTGTGACATTAATTTAAGGCAAATACGTTTTCTTATCCTAATTCAAAACTTTATGTGACACAAATGTACGATTCCATTTATTCTTTAAAAATACCATTTTCATAATCTTTTATTTGTAAAAACTTAAATATTTTATTCAAAGCATAAAATGAGCTATATATAATGCTTTGTTGATTATCGTAATTTACCCCCCCCCCCTTCTTGAAGTTTTAGGTAATAATAATTATACAGGCAACAGTTATGTTGTAATTTCCCATTCACATTATTTCCTTTACTTAACTTTGATATTGCAAGCTATAATTAATTACAGGTTTTAATACCATTCTAATTGAACTACTTAAGGAAATATAAATCACAGTTTATGAATTTTTCTGATAGAAGTTTTTGAAAAAGAAAACATGATTTTCATGTAAGTAACAAGATGTTTATATGTGATGTCTTGTTATCCAGAAAAACACAAAGAAAACTATAAAGTACCTATCTGAAAACAATAATAAATAACAGTTTAATGTAATAATGTAATGTTTAAAGTAGTACTCATCACTCCATTGCTGTACCACTTCAAATGTATGTACAATAATTTGTAATAAATAAAATACCTCAACTTTCAACAGCGCAATAAGAAAAATTCTGATAAAATTATCGTATTGTATGGTATTAATATATCTGATAAAAAAAACATAATTCTATTTAACAAAACACAAATACCCGGTATTTAAACCATTTATTTATTGATTTTAATTTGGTAATGGTTTACCATAAATTCTGGTTTTCAGAATTAGTTCTTTTTACCATACATTTAGTAAAAAAATGAAGAAAAAATTTTTATTAAATTTAACCAAATAAATGGTTCTTACATCATCTTCTAAGGTATCATGATAAAATTATCAAGTTTTAACACATTTACTAAATTTTATCACAAATTATAAAACCATACCTTATTGTTAATTTTTCCAAAATTACTAACAAACCGTTTTGGTTTTCCCTTAAGGCCTGAAACATGGTAAATTTGACCATTTTAGATTTATTTATTTACTTTTTTTTTGCACTGATAAAAAATGTATGTTCAAAACTGCCAAAATATGGTGAATTTGACCATATTTTGGCACTTTTGAACGTACTTTTTTTCTCAGTGCAAAAAAAATAAATAAATAAATAAATCTAAACTTAATTTTCAGACTAAAAAAACTAAAATCAGTGTCTGCTGACCAAGAAATAAATGCAGTATAAGTAATATCTTAGAAATGACCATTTTATGTTTCGCAAACATTTCACAACACGCATGATTGACATTCTATAGTTTATAAATAAGTTAACTTAAAGTGATGTTCAATTATTTGATCGAATGATTATTGTCCAAATAACTTTATTGTGCATCATTTTTTAACTGTACTTCTTTTATTGCAGCCGAAACATTGTTCCAATTGTGATGGGTGGACGGCCGGAAGATTATGCCAGAGCAGCACCCCCTCATTCATATATACACGTGGATGACTTTACATCTCCAAGAGAACTGGCAAATTATCTCAGCATCTTGGACAAGAATGATACTTTGTATAATGAGTACTTCAAATGGAAGGGAACTGGCGAGTTTGTCAACACTTACTTTTGGTGCCGAATGTGCGCCATGCTACACGCACCACTGTACCACAAATCCTACCCAGACATGCATCGATGGTGGTTTGGTCCTGGTACATGCAATGCAGGAAACTGGCGTGGTACACCACCAACTAGTATACCACACCAGGGACCTACTAGTGTAGCTGGTATTAAAGATGATAAAGGTTAATTTAAATTGATCACAGACTACTTAATTAATTAGAATTAATTTGGCATTGTCTGAAGAACGCCAAATAGAGATTAGTGGCGCTTCACGATGGAAGTTTAAGAATGAGACCACAACAATCTTGTTTTATGGCTGTAAAATAATTTCGAAATCTGGTCATAGATTTATCGTCATTATTGACAATTTTTAAATACATATGTTGCTTAAAGACAGATTACAAGGAACATTCCACCTAAGGAGCAAATATGAGTTCTTTGTGAGTAATGCATTATGGAGGAACCTTCTTCTGAGTGTTGTACAGTCTATTTCTTTCAATGTTTAACTAAAATGCATTACCTTTGCACTGTTTGCATACCATGCATTCTCTTATTCAATTATGATGTATATTATTTCATGTCTTTCATGAGAAATTCATTATTTATTGATATTTCTTTTCCCACTAAATCATTCCATGATTTGTGATAGAGTTATTTATTTTCTTTTTTCATGTACAATTATTATAAGATGGTCGGAGAAATATTTGTAACCTTAATAGGATAATTCTTTTAAAAAAAATATACTGGCCATAAGAACTGTTTCACGTACTTTTTCCGTTAACGTTTACTTACATGTTAATTATAAAGGTTTTTATATCCCAAACAGTAAAAAGAAATTAAATAAATGAACCTCACTATAAATGTGAGAGTCAAGTAGCAATAGGTTTAAACTATCAGGAAAACAACAAGTACTTTTAAACCACGTAGATTTCAGCAAATCCGAAATACTAAGGAAGCTAATATTCTGGAATTAATTCTACACTATTCAAAAAACAATTATTATTTTCTCATATTTCAGCTAGTTTTTTTACAGTTTCATAAAAAATTCCTCAATTTTAATTTTTTTTACAGATTTACTAAAAGCTTTTAAAAATAGCAAAAAGGGACATTTCTTGATTTCCTAATGGATTTTTTTTATACTTTTTTTGAATTTGTGAACAACTTTTTCGATTATTTTGCTTTACAATTCATGAAATAATCATTATATATAGAGTTTTATAATACCAACATTTCTCTTTAGTATTAAATTCAAAGCAATATTTTTATATATTGTTATGAACTCTAATTAATACTTTTTTTACTAGTAAATATATATCTTTTTTCACTTAACGTATGGAAAACATATTCGATACCTACAATGTTTTGCTTTTATTACTACATAATTACTACGGGAAGTATCAAAATTTCTAGATTGCTACTAATCGGATATATAGTATTGCACACAGGAAAACATAATTATTGCAACAAGTTTTCTAATTTATCAAAAGTTAATTACTTTGAGGTGTGAAATTATTCATTTTGAGGTACGGTGAGTAAAAGCATAAATATTTTTTTTTAAATTGCGACGTAGTCATTTATTTATTTTAAAGCAAGGGCATTAAGAGGAACTGATTATAATCACGTCAGAGACCACCTAATTTTTGAAACTTCATTTAACAATTTTTTTTCAATTTTAATAATTTCTCCCGACGGATATAAAAGGCATTAAATCCATAATTAAGATCCGTCATCACATATTTTTTTAGTTTTGGAAGTTTTTATATGTTTTCATGATCCACTGAACTTGACGCAAAAAATACTTGATGCAATTATGTTCTTAAATTAATAAATTTCTCTCTATTATTCCTTTTTTGGAAACAATAGTACAAAAGTGAATTACTTTGAAATTGGTCTTACATATCATACGGGTATTATTTTTTTTTTGTTTCTTAAAAAGTGATTTTTGAGCATTTTCTTGAGTAAGTACAGTTGGATAAATATTATATGTGTATTTGTAAAAGATATTTGTTTATTTGTTTTTTAAAAAGCAATTTGTGTCACGAATTAAATTTATTAAAAAATTACTATTTGAAAATAGCATTTTTGTTTGCTTGTAAATTCTATCAAGATAAAGTGAAATAAAATTTTAAGTCGTATTAGAATTCGCATTTATTCATTAAAAGTTGATTAATTTTAGGTGTAAAAATGCTATATTACAGTGAGTAAAAACGTAAATATTTAAAAAAAAACTTTCAAAATCAGCAATTAATTTATTTTATAGCAGAAACATTAATAAGACTGATTACAATCACGTCAAAACTCCCAAAATTTTTAAAAATAATTTCCTAGTTTCGCTCGATGGGTATAAGATATTAGTTACGTAGTTAACCAACGTATATCATATATAACTATAGTTTTAGAAGGTTTTTTCATGATGATTTTTTTAACGTGTCAATTAGGCTTGAAATAAGTACTTGATGCAAGTATGCTCTTAAACTCATAAAAGTTTTTTGATCATTATGGAAGCAATTTTAGGACAAACGCGAATCAAATTTAAATTAGTCAACATATCATACGGGTATTATTTTTTGTATCTTTAAAAAGATTTTTGAACATTATCTTGATAAGGTACATTTGGATAAAAACTATCTCTGTATTTGTAATAGAGATTTGTTTTTTAAAGGGTTTTTTAAATAGTTTTTTTTTAAATTTATCTTTTAAATTTTATGTCACAAATGTGCTTGAGTCAATTTTATCAAAAAACTAATACTTGAAGGGAACATTTTCGCAAATTTATCGAGATGAAAAGAATTAAAATTTTAAAGTCATGTTAGAATTTGCATCTATTCATTAAAATTAATATTAGTTTTTTTAATGCATACTGCTAAAATATTTTGAAATACTTATTTCTTAAAAGGGTTTATAACAAAAATTACCGCTTTTATTTTAACTAAAACGTAAATACGTAATTTATAAATGATAAGAAAATAACTAATTTTGTAATTATTCCAAAATATTTTTTTTACGTGTAACAGACTTTTTTTCTGAAAAAGCAGATACAGGAATTACAATAGTAACCGTGATAAAATATATATTCTTTATTTTTGAAATAAACTATAATTTACATTATTAAAATTCATTAGTCTAACAATAGAAAATATAACATTCTCTTAAATTCGTAGATATATAAAAGAAAATTTTGATTTTAGAAATGCAATTCAAAAACAATGATCTAAATATTGATAAAGAAGACGTTTAATTTTTAAATACTGAAAAAGAAATCTGGTTTAAAATTGCTTATCATATCACTCCTTGTTGCTTTAAAAACTATAACCTAATTTTTTTCTCTTTCTTTAATACTTAATTAAAGGATTTAGAGCAGTAAAATGGCTTAAATTTTTGTTAGGAGAGAATTATTAAGAAAATGTTTGGGGAAAAGCGAAGCAATTTAGATGTAGCACAAATCAAATTCTCTCTGTATTTTGCTATTATATAATGGAAACAGTAACATGTAAAGTGCCTATCTGAAAACAATACTACGAAGCAGTTAGGTGTTAAAAATTTTCTCTCTGAAAAATAAGTTTTTTATCACTATATTGTCTTAAGCCCTTCAATTGAAAGAGTAAAAAAAAACGTAATATCAGCCTTTAGTTGTACTTTCAGTTCCACCAAAAAAATTTTCTGAAGAGACTGTTCTTGTTGTAATTTGTTAAAAAAATTTAAATATGTTAAATACTGAAAAACCACAGTACATTGAAAAGATAAAAATATGGTTGAAGTTTGAAGAACTTGGTCAAATATGATGCTAAACATGTGTTTTAATATTTATCTTGATTACATGTACCCAGTTACTTTACATTCACTTATGCTGCTTGTGCTTAATTTCATGCTATTTCAAATCTTACTAAGGTACAGTTAACAATATATTGATATTTTGAGGTTCTTACTTTTTTACACATACATTTTTCTTTTTAAAGCAAAATCTCATTCCATTACAATATTTCTATAATCATATGACTTGCAATGGATTTTTTTTGTACACATAAAAAGTCAGCATTTTTAACATTCCCATTTGTGTAAAGTTCTTAAGAAATTTGTGTAATTTATGATATGTCCGAAATAAAGCTGTGTACTTTCTATCAACTAGTTTCTATTTCATTTGTTAATTCATCTGCACCAAGGGGTTCTCACTCTTGTAGGTTCAACCCTACCCCATTTGAATTAGCTCAAGGCTCTTTTATCACTTCAGAATAGGTTAATAGAAGTAGTGCATTTAGAATTTGATCTTTTATATCACCACATATGCATAAATTTGGAAAATATTATTAGAACACAGTTCAGGCTCTAACTCATACTATAATCTATTCAGACTTATATTTCAAAAGAGCATATGAATTGTGTGCATGTTTGTACGCACAATCGTACGGTCATAAGAATCGAGTACGTTTCAAGTTCTATCTCCGTGTTATTATTTTTATTCTTTTGTTATGTATTACTTATTTTGCAAATAAATGTTTAGATGCGAATGTCTGGTTTAAAGTTGAGAATTAGTTATTCTGAAAATAATATGAAGTTTATTAAACTTTAAAATATCTGACTACAAAATCTTCACTTCAAATATTGTTTAACCAGAAGTTGTGACTAACGTTTTATTTAAATGCTTGAGCGACGCTTTCTTAAGGTACAGTCAGTAAATAATTAGTCAGATGCTAATTCATGCCAATTTATAGAATGAAATTGAGAAGTATTGTCTTTTTTTTCTTTCCTCCAAGCCCTGAGCATGTAGCTAGGTTATGAAAAACCCTTAACCATTCATGACCTTAACCATTCATGCCTGACCAGCCCAGGACTTGGTCACTGGTCCAGCTCCCCTCCAGCCTAGGAACGGATCCAGTCAGCGGTATTAATTTTGAAAATATTCTACTTAACATGATATTTAAAAGAAGAAAAAATTTAACTGAAAGGGTGGAATTTAAGAAGAAATAAGACAAAGAGAAAAAAAATTATGCATGTGAAATAGGAGATTATTAAAATTTTAATAAATAGTCCTTATCTGCTAAGAAGTTCATTACTGTTATTAATCTTTTGGTTAAAGTATTGTTTATAATAAAAATTTTCTGCCAAATTTCTAAATTTGTTGGGCTAGGCTGATAACTATGCCAGGAGACAGTATAGGAACAGCTGAGATAATGTTCAAGCGAACCTTGTTGGCCGCAGGTGCAAAGATCAGTATCTGTTATATGCAGGTAATGAAAGAAGGTTGGAAATGGTCCGTAACCCGTCAGGAGCCAGATGACCTGTTATGGAGGAATTGTTTTGAAAAAAGTAACATTGTTAATAATTTTGATTAGTTAACTTCTTCCTCTGTCTGAATTACTCCAATTGAAATTGCTATTTTGTTAGAAGAGAATCTTTAATACTTCGTTAAGATATGGAACTGGAAGTGGGTATACGTAATTTTTTGGTTGTCTCGTAGATTGTTTAGCTAAATCCTCTGGTTTTTCATTACCTACTCTATTGCTGTGTGCTTTAATCCAGGAAATTTGTATTGATGTGTGTTGAATATCAAAAGAAATTCTATTATTTGTGCCAAAATCAAGTATTGATGCTTTTGAGTCTGACCAGATGATATAACTATCATTATTATTGAAGTTTACAGTGCTCTTAATTTATTTAATGCATTCAAGGATTGCCAACTGTTCGGCTTGAAAGATTGAATTTTCCCTGTCTAAGGTGTAACTTTGCGAATGTGTAATATTGAGGAAAGAAAAAGCTGTGCCTGTGTTTGTCTTCGAGCCATCTGTAAAATAGTTTGTTTTTCTGTTAAAATCGAAATTATTCTGCTCTATTTCGTTAATTATGTGAAAAGAAGGCTGGCGATATGGTATTTTTAGCTTTTTCTGATAGTCTAGTGTATTATACGTTATATTATTAAATTTGGCATCTTTTTTGAGGTGAGTTACGATTGTTGAACAAGACATTGACATAATCTGTTCTGCGAGAGGAGGAATATTTGTTAGAACTTGAAGTGCTACCGTGGGGGTAGAATAATAGGCTCTACTCGTGTTTAAAAGAAATTTTCTTTGAATAGATTGTTAAGTGCGATAAAAACGTGGAGAGATATTCATTGCCCATAGGCTGCAACCATGAGCTAATGCTGGAATTATTACTGTATTGTATATTAATTTTCACGCTTTTTGGTTGATACCCCATGATTTTTGCTTGATTTTTTGCAGCGAATTTAATAATGTATTAGATTTTTGTTTTAAAATATTAATGTGAGAACCCCAGTTTAATTTTTTATCAATGACTACTCCTAGATAGATATAGAAAATGATTAGAATGTTTAATTTTAATATTATTGATTTTAAATATTGCACTGTGATCTGTGTTATAAAAGTGGATGTAAACTGTTTTTTCTATTGAGAGATTTAGAGCATTTTGAATAAGCCATGTGTGAATTTCATTAAGGGAATTATTTGTAATCTCTTCCAAATTTCTCCTTGAGTTTTGTCAAAAGTCAGTATATTCAGATCGTCTGCAAAAGCTTGAATCATATAATTTTCAGAATGTAGGTTAAGCAAACTATTGATAGTAAGATTCCATGCTGTAGAAACAATACATGACCCCTGGGGACAACCTTCTGAAATGTTTTTAGTTACGTAACCTTGATCTGTTGAAAGAATTACTTGTCTATTTGTGTTTATACTTTCTGTGAAATGGCAAAGATTAGAGGGGGTATGATGTTTTGACAACTCATAATTAATTATACTATATTGAATGTTGTCAAAAGCACTTTTAATATCTAAAGATATAGCTGCAACGAGTTTGTAATTATTTTTAGGGGTGTTAGGAATCTTTAAAATTATCCAAAGCTAAATGAACTGACCACAGAGCTGACGTGAAATGTCCTCAGTGATAAACAGATCATGGGTTAGTGTCCCCTTGCCGTCAGATTAACCGTGGGAGGTTCTAGTGGTCTTCCTCTCCATGTAACGCAAATGCGGGTTCCATCAAAAAGTGCTCCACGAAGGCAAATTTCTCCCAATACTTGATCTAGGAGTTCCCTTGTCTTCTGGATGGGGTTCAAAATTAAAAGGCTACGGAGTTGAAGATTGGTAGTCGTAAACCCAAAAATTGGGTCGGCTGTTCAACG